CTCGAGTCTGCCTTGGATTTATCCCTGTGGATGTGGCCACTGCACTCACAGATGATTCTCAGCAGCCACAAACCTCCTCTTACCTTGTGCTTGCAGAGAAAACAGCAGAGGATGAAGCAGCTGGCTGTTGGGATAAGGGGATCACAATCCTTTTCAGGAATGAAAGCAGCACAGAGAGAGCCCTAAAAAACCACCAGTGCTCGTCCAAGAGGCAAATGGTCACGGGGCTGCAGCATATGGAGGGTGATCCTCTGCCATCCTGCAGCCAATTACTCCTTGGATTCCACAGGCAAACCCCTGCTGGTGCCATGAACACGTGGTGGAGGAGATTTGCTCTCTGGAAACCCAAAATCATGGGAATCACCCCAGATTTGGCTTCATGGGTGACTCCAGAGCAAGGAGAGGAACATCTGATCCCCAGGGTCTGCCCCGTGCCCTGGGGTTTTTCAGGAACAGATCCAGACAGTTCATGATCCTGCTCTCCAGGCAGGAGAGGAAGGCATGAGAAGAGCCCTGAGTCCTGCTGAGGACAGACAAGCTTCTTGGCAGAGCTGTCCAGCCCACATTCCAGGGCACAGGGAAGCAGATGGTTGGGCATTTAGGGCTCTGGCAGGAGGAATCTCTGGGCCTTTGGCACAGGGCACCGATTTAGCTGCATTCCCTTCTGCTTGGGCAAGTTCTGTTTGTGCTTCTCCCGCTCGTGGGGTTTCTTAGGAGGCTTTGTCAGAGCAAGGAAAAGCAGCTGGTGCCTGGAGCCACCTGCTTGCAGCAGCTGGAGAGGCCTCCTTGACCCATTATTGGTTATTATGACCCAAATCCATCTTCACAAATACCTGTACAACACAGAGTCCACAGAATATCCAGGTTGGAAAACCCCTCTGGGATCAATGAGTCCAACAGCTCCCCCAGCACTGGGAAGGCCACCTCTGACCCATGTCCCCAAGTGCCACATCCACATGGCTCTTAAACCCCTCCAGGGCTGGGGACTCCAGCACTGCCTTGTGCAGGGCTGGACAACTCTTTCCATAAAGAAATTTTCCCTAATATCCGATTCAAACCTCCCCTGGAACAACTTGAGGCTGTTTCCCCTCATTGTTTTCACTTGGGAGAAGAGACCAAGCCCCCCTGGCTGTCCCCTCCTGTCAGGGAGTTGTGCAGAGCCACAAGGTCCCCCCTGAGCCTCCTTTTCTCCAGGCTGAGCCCCTTTCCAGCTCCCTCAGCCTCTCCTCATCATCCCAGTTGTGCTCCAGAGTTCTCTGCCTCATTCAGGGTGACCCTGTGCCCCAGCCATGATTTTACCCTAAAATTGTTGGTGTTCACAGCCCAGCCCGTGGGTTGGGATCTCTCCCATCGTGGGGGAATGTAGGACAGGATGATCTGTGCAGGACCCAGAGATAAGGCTGGTGTCTGATTGCCCAAGAGGTGTGTTGTTCCCTTCCCCGTGTCCCGTACATCCCCCATTGTTCCTGAGACTGGGGCAATGTTTGCTGACCGCTGTCAGGGCTGAGCTGTGCCAGGCGGTGTCACAACGCAGGGAGAGGCTCCAAACGTCGCTGCTCCTGATTTTACAGGATGAAAAACAAGGCAGGATGGGTGTCCCTGCCATGTTCAAGGGTTCCTCGGGGAGAGGGGACGTTCAAACCAAATTCTTGAGTGCATGATGAGTACATGTACGTGCACAAATGAGTACAAACCTCATTTTCCCTACAGCACGAGGGCAGAGAAAGGCAGGCAGTGGATCCCAGCTCAGTGCCAGCCACTCCTCTTCTTAGGCACAATTCTAGTGCACCTCTAAGTCCTTTCTCTCTGTGTAATATCTGATCTATCCCTGATTTGAGGGCTGCATGTGATGGGTTTTTCTCTGAGCTGGGTGATAATCCCTTCTCACACACCCCCTGGGAATTGCAGAGTTGTCAAGACCAACACTGGGGTAACAATCAGTCCCTCCATGTGCAGCCCTGCCCAAATTTGCCTTTTCCCTCCTTCACAGAAGCAGCAGTGCTGTTTCCCCACTGCCCATGGGGCTGAAATCCTTTATTTTCCTTTGCAGCCACTCCAGTTGTGGCTTCCTCATCCCTGGAAGTGCCCAAGGCCAGGTTGGATGGGGCTTGGAGCAACCTGGGATAGTGGAAGGTGTCCCTGCCCATGGCAGGGGTGGAACTGGATGAGTTTTAGGGCCTCTTCCAATTCAAACTTTCAAGATACACTCAGAGACCCCTCTTCTCTCTGATGATGTGCATCAGTGCAAACCTCCATAAGAGGAGAATTAACCATCCTTATTACCAACCTTTGCATCTATCTATGAGATAAAAATGTCACTAAATAGCCTTTCAAATCATTCCCAGACACTGGAATCACCAGAACTGCCAGCATTAATGAGACGTGCAGGCAACAAAATGGACAAACTCAGGCTTGACTTAGCACCAGGAGTGAGGATGGAAATTCAGGTAAATCCAATCACTTCTGCAATCCTTCTCCTGCCCAGGACAGGCTGTGACCCACCCCTGCCTGCTGGCAGGGTGATAGAATCAGGCTGATTCCATCGTGCAGGGGCTGAACAACCTTGAACCTGAAGCAATCCCGGGCAGGAAGGCACCAGGAGCCATCCATCCCTCCAGAGGGAGCCCCAGCAGTGGCTGATGACCCGATTTCCACGCTTTGGCTTTGTTCTCTGCCAGAGATAAAGCAGGTGGAGGTTGAGGAGCCTTTCTGGGTGAGTGAGATCTGTGAGATCTGAGATCTGTGAGATCTGCAGCTCTGGATCAGAGCCTGGGCCCAGCCTCCCTTCCAGCAACCCCAATGGACAGTGCAGACAGCAGAGCCCGTCTTCACAAAAAAAATCTGGATTTTTTTGTTTTTCCCTGAAGATCTGGCGAGTCCTTCATCTTTTTCCCATTCCCTAGAGCTTCATTTTCCTGGGAGCACACGGGCTTGTGGCCAGCCCTTCTCAGTCTCACATACACTCTCAGGGTAAATGCTGGATTTCAGCATCACCAGCCTTGAATCTGATTTAGAATCACAAGATAATTTTGGTTGGAAGGGACCTTAAAGAGCATCCAGTCCCACCCCCTGCCATGGGCAGGGACACCTTCCACTGTCCCAGGTTGCTCCAAACCCCATCCAACCTGGCCTTGGACACTTCCAGGGATCCACGTTCCTGCCCATACCTCTGCTAAAAATCTTAGTGGTAAGGTTTGGGTTTTAGCTGTGCCCAGGCTCTTCCTGACAGGGCTGTACTTTACAGGAATAAACCATGGAAAAGCACTCGAGTTTATGCACCCCTGACCCTGCAGCCTCACTGCTGGGTGTGGGATGTTGGCAGTGTCACAGCTTCCAGTAAAGGGGGCTCTGGGAGAGCTGGAGAGGGACTGGGGACAAGAAATGGAGGGACAGGACACAGGGAATGGCTTCCCACTGCCAGAGGGCAGGGATGGATGGGGTATTGGGAAGGAATTGTTCCCTGGGAGGGTGGGGAGGCCCTGGCAAAGGGTGCCCAGAGAAGCTGTGGCTGCCCCTGGATCCCTGGAAGTGTCCAAGGCCAGGCTGGATGGGGCTTGAAGCAGCCTGGGATAGTGGAAGGTGTCCCTGCCATGGCAGGGGCTGGAACAGGATCATCCTTAGGGTCCCTTCCAACCCAAAGCACTCAGTAATTCCACGATGGAAACACAAATGCAGGGTGATGACCCAGTGTAGGGGGGTTCTGTTCCGGGGCAGCATGAGGGGACTGTCCCCTGCCACAGCGGGTGGCTGTGGAGAAGAACCTGATTTCAGAAAACACCACGTGTAGCGTGGCCAGGCTGAAATTTTTGCTGTTTCTCCATTCCTGGCAGGAACTGGATGGAGCTGGGCTGGAGTCAGCAGGGACCTGGCCGTGTGTGTGCGCTCAATTCCCGCGGGTTTGTACCCAAAATATGGCCTCGGTGGGACCGGCCCCAGCCCTGCTCCCTGCTCCCTACCCGGCCCGGGGCTGCGGCTCTGGCATCCTGCCTGCTCCTGCTCCATTCCCCATCCTGGTCTGCTCCCTCCCTGCTCCATTCCCAATCCCTGCCTGCTCCTGCTCTATTCCCGATCCTGGTCTGCTCCCTCCCCCTTCCACTCCCAATCCCGCCCGTTCCCATTCCCGCTGCATTCCCTCTCAGTTGCCATTCCCTGTCCGTTCCCATTCCCGCTCCGTGCTCATTCCCGCTCCGTGTCCATTCCCTGCCCGTGCCCATTCCCTGCTCATCCCGCTCCGTGCTCATCCCCGCTCCCTGCCCATTCCCTGCCCGTTTCCACTCCCGCTCCCTGCTCATTCTCTGCCCGCGCCCATCCCCGCTCAGTTCCCATTGCCGCTCCGTGCCCATTCCCGCTCTTTTCCGGCCCGTTTGCCCCAAGCCCCGCCCCAAGCCACTCTCCCGGCCCCGCCCCTCGCCCCGCCTCGTTCCCATTGGCTCGCCTTCAGACCACGCCCCCTCCCCGAGCCCCGCCCGGAACCCCGCCCATTACCATTAAGTGCCGCGGAACGTTTGTGGCGGGGCCGTGCCGCGCGCCGGACTCTTTACCCGCGCCGCTGTCGCCGTGAGGACACCGAGCGCGGATTGGTCCAGGTACGCGTCACGTGACCCGGGAGGTTCCCGGGCGGCGCTTCCGGCCCATCCCGCTCCGCCGGCGGCTCCTGGGAATTCCGAGAATCCCGGGAATCCTGGGGGGCCCGGGGGTCCTGGGGTTCCCCCGGCGCCCTGACCCTCCCCGAGTCAGCACCGAGGGTCTTCCCTCGCCTCCCCCCCCGCTCCCGTCTGTAACATCCTCCCGACACCCCCGGGCCGGCCCTGAGGGAGAAGGGAGGGCCCTGTGCGGGTCTCTCCCGCTCCCTGCATCGCTCTCGGTCCCCAGGGAGCCGCCGCCGCCGCGAGTTCTGCCCCCGCCTGCCCGGGTGGGACCGCACAGACCCTCCCCGGCTTTCCCAGCCCGGCCCTGCCAGTGTTCCCCAGGCTCCCCCCGGTTTTCTCGGTGAATTTTCCCAGCGGGTTTCCCCCGTGTTCCCCTCCAGCATGGAGTTCGCCGAGCTGATCAAGACGCCCCGAGCGGATAACGTGGTGCTGCACTGCCCGTTCCACCTGGCCGTGGAGGGGACGCTGTGCCTGACCGGCCACCACCTCATCTTCTCGTCACGGCGGCAGGACAACGCCGAGGAGCTGTGGCTGCTCCACTCCAACATCGACTCCATCGAGAAAAGGTGATGCTGCCTTTTTCCCTGCCCATCCCTAATGCCTTGTGGTTGGAAAGGCCGGCTGGTACCGCAGCTATCCCAAATCCGGCTGTGGGGAGCAGGAAGGATGCTCTGGGCATAGACATTGTGTGAGCTGTGCCAGGGGAGGTTCAGGTTGGGTATGACGAGGAATTTCTCCACAGGAAGGGTAATTAAACCCTTGGAATACTCGGGGAGGTTTGGAGTGCCCATCCCTGGAGGTGTCCAAGGAAGGTCTGGATGTGGCACTCAGTGCTCTGGGGTGGTGACAAGGTGGGGATCAGTCACAGGTTGGACTCAATCATCCTTTTCCAACTTTAATGATTCTTTCAGGGCCCAGGGCAGAGTTCCCATTCTGTTTGGATATTCATGTTTGATGTTGCATCTCAAAGGTTGGGTTTTTGGTTCTGTAGAGAGTCAGAATTTTTGTGTTTAACCCCTTTTGCTCTCTGCTCATTGCTCAGTGGATTCATCCACCCTTGAAGCACTTTATAAACAATGCAGCTTCCCTCACTGTGCACAGAGGGACACATCAGAGCACTGCTGAAGGGATTTACTTTGCAAAACTGGTGGCAGAATTGGGCTCTGGACTTGCTCAGCCCCAAATCATCTCCTGCTGCTCAACAGCATCATCCCTTCTGCAGCTGCTTATGGAATCAATAACCCTTTAGCAACGTGCTTTTTGTGGCACAGCTGAGCTGTAGCTGCAGAACTCCACATTTTTTCTTTTCCATCTCCTTTTAGCTACAGAGAGTTCAGACATCTCTCTTTTCCCCCTCATTCTTCTTTACCTGCACCATTGCCCCTCATTGAGTGTCTGCCCTACCTCACTTGGTCATTGTCCTCTGCTCCCTCACCTTGGTCCTTTTTCCAGCTTGATGATAATACTTCATTTTTATATTAATTACAAAATCCTTCCCCAGTTTTTAAAGCCTTTTAAGGAAATCTGGTACAACAGAGTTCCTTTCTGCCAGCATTACAGGAGAAATCGGCCAGCAGTGATTAAAAAAAGCACAGAGCTTGGGATGGGGGAATTGCTGGGTGCTGATTAAATTTGTTGCTGATTAAGTTTGTTCCTGACTTCCCTGTGTGTTTTGGAGAGAAAAAAGGAGCAGAGAGGTGGAAACCTCAGAATTTCTTTCCATGCTCAGTCTTCAACCTGGCCTTGGACACTTTCAGGGATAAGGCAGCCACAGCTTCTCTGGGCACCCTGTGCTCACATAATATTTGTCATGTAATATCTCCACTTCCTGCCACAGCATAAGGATGGAATAAAGGAAAATAAACCCAGACTTGCAAATAGCAAATAACGAGTTGTGTTTGTTTCTTTATTTTCTTGAAAGGTGGCCCTGCAGACAAATTGCCACTAATGGGGATTTGCCTCGTAGGAAGAGCTGTGACACTTCTCCTGCCTTAGAGGATCCTGTTTTTATGAGACTCTTATTTCCTGCCTTGCTGTAGGTTCGTGGGCTCCTTGGGCACCATTGTCATAAAATGCAAAGACCTGAGGATTATCCAGCTGGACATCCCAGGGATGGAGGAATGTCTGAACATTGCCAGCTCCATTGAGGTGAGGAGTTGCCATCAGCCAGAAAACCTGCAGGTCTTGAGCTCACCTCAGCCTTAAGAGTTTTGTTGGTTTTTTTTCCAGTTAGATTTTCATGTTTTGAAAGGCTAAGTAAAATCTGGAATATCTCACATGGGGCTGTGGGGTGAGGTTTTGGACTCCTCATGACTGGAAGTGTTCAAAGCCAGGCTGGATGGGGTTTGAAGTGACCTGGGATAGTGGAAGGTGTCCCTGCCCATGGCAGGGGTGGAATGGGATGAGCTTTAAGGTTCCTTCCAACCCTCACCTGTGATTCCATGATTTCTCTTGTCCACACAGGCACTTTCCACCCTGGATTCAGTCACCCTCATGTATCCCTTCTTCTACCGGCCCATGTTTGAGGTCCTGGAGGATGGATGGTCCTCCTTTCTGCTGGAACAAGAGTTTGAGCTCCTCAGCTCAGTGGTGAGTGGCATTTGAGGGGTTTGTCCAGGCACTTGGATATTCTGTGAACTGTTTCACCCAGCAGTGGCTGGACTGCAAATCCCAGATGGTAAAAAATCCATTTGGTGCCTGGGTGAGAGGTGAGTGTTGTTGAAATATTCCCTCTTTAAGTCAGACGTTTGTTTGCTGCTTCACCTTGTACAAATGGAGGTTTGAGGCCGTTTTCAGGAAATCACAATGGTAGGAAATGTTTTTGGCCTTTGGGGATGGTTCTCTAGTGGGAAGAACAGATTGAAATCCTTTGTCCTGGCTTTGTTGTTCTTAATTTTGATCTGGGGTAGAATGAGATGAATCTTTGTCAAACCTTCATTGAAATTACATTGGTTTTAAAAAAATTGCTCTTTAATAGGATGACAATGAAGGTGCCCAGTTTGAAACACTTTTTTTCTGTAATTCATGCTGGGGAAATATTCAGAAGGTTCAAAAAGCAGGAAACTTCCAGTTCTCTTTTTCCAGGTGCTGCTGGGCACATTGATTTTGTTTTGGGTAGGAATTGTTCTTGTGGCATTGCCTCTTGTGTCTCTTACTCAAATTTCCTTTTAGGGTGCTGAATTTGGTAGAGTGGGAACTATCTTGGGTGTAGGAACCTCTTTTAATAATTCCTTGGATTTGCATCTCTGTGTTCCAGGTCTTTCTTCCACATCCAGTCTGTGTTCTTGCTCCAGCAGCTCAGGTTTCTGAGCTCACATCCATTAGTGCAGCATCCAAGAACGTTTAATTTTTTTTGCTTTTCTCTGCAGCCTGGATCACTTCCTGGCTATGAGTAACTGCTGAATAATGTGATCAGCTTGACCAAATTCAGTTGATGAAATCACCAGAAAACTGAAGGAGTTCAAAGGCCTTGCTATTTTTGTCTCATGATTAAAGCCCTCTCATGTGTATTATCTTCCTCTGCCATCCAAAGACAGACCAACAGTTATCATATCCAGCACATGGATCTATTGATGTGCTCTTTTTCCTTATTTTTTCAGGGATTTAAAACTTCATTTGTCAATCTCTTGCCTTTCTGAGCACATTCTCTGTGTAAGAATTACATTTAAAAACCTCATTACTTTTTAGTACCACGTTTCCAGGGCAATCATTCATTCCTTTACAATCTCCATGTCTGACAGCTGTTAATTAATTCTTGACTTTTAACCCTAAACTTCACATTTTGAATAAAATAGTGTCAAAAGCCACCTTCCAGTGATTTACATCTCCTGAACAACAGATAAATGTCTTGTTGACCAAATAATTCTTGTTCTGTAGTGCCACTGCCTTGTGTGACAGGCTGGAACAAGGAAATGGCTGATTTAAATCTTTCTCACAGAAGTCAAGTGAGTAGAATTCCAAAAGTTCCTGCCTCTGCTAAATCATCCATCTGGATCTGTACCTTCTCCAGTCGGATAACAAGTTAAAAACTATTTCACCCACCCTACAGCTCCAGCAATTTATTAATTCCACATTTATCTGCTACAGGAGAATTGTTTTCAACACTCTCTAATGGCAAAGTGCAGTGTAGAAGTTAATACTTTTTTTAAAAGCAAGCTAATATATTAAATATTTAGATAATATAATATGTAATTTGTATTCTTCACTGCACAGTGAGGGGATAAATGGAATTCAGAGTATGTGCAGGGTTCATATTTTCTCTGAGCAGTCAGAGGAGAGCCAAAAGGTTTCTCTTGTGCCAAATTCCAGAATTGTTGGATGCTGCAACTAACTCTGGAAATTCAGTTTCCTAAAATGAAGTTTGTACACTGACAGTGTAACTAACATTTTATTGCCAAGAAGATCACTTGCTTCATTCTCCTTTCTTCCCCTTTTTCTTCCTTTTTCTTTCCTTCCTTTGTTCTTTTCTTTACCCCTTCCCTTTTTTCTTCCCCTCTTTCTTCTTTTTTCTTTCCCCTTTTTCTTTTTTTTTTTTTACTTCCCCCCCTTTTCTTTTTATTCTTTTCCCCTTTTTCTCTTTTTTTTCTTTCCCTTTTTCTCTCTTTTCTTCCTTTTCCCCCTCTCTTTTCTCTCTTTTCTTTCCCTTTTTAGCAGGAAAGATCTCAGCGTTCTGAACAACTCAGTTGTGCTTTATCTTCATGTCACAGCTCCTTTTAAAAATCAGAACTTTTGGGTTTGGGCTCAGGTTAAATGGTAATTGTGAACCATATTTTGCTCTTTTCAGACAAGAATCAATCTTTACATCTGTTCTGCTCCTTGTCTGTGCACAATCTGATCCCAGCAGGGCTTGTTCCTTGGGAATGGCCTCTGCCTTTGCTGCTTTGCAGGATCTCCCAACATCCATGCTGGGTTCTTGACTTTTTTTTTAAGGCCTATTGGTAGAGCTTGACATTTCCCAATGTTTTGTAGAAAAACGACCTCTTCTGGCAATTTTAGGCTTTAGGAGGAATGATAGCTTGGACATTTGGGAATCAATGTCTCTGTAAACAAGTAATAGGACAAGAAAAGTGAAAATCCAAGAGTTGATCCTGCACTAGGTTTTAAAATCACTGTTTTCTTTCTCTGGAGTTCTCTCTCCTTTCTGCTCAGCCCTCATTCTGCTTTTATCCTTAACTTCTTTTGATTCCTAAAAGCTCAGATGTATTGCTGAAAGAATTAAGGGTTCACTTTGCACTCCCTGAGTTTTACACAGCACAATTACCTGATTGAAAGTGAGGTCTCCCTTCATCCCTTGCCCTGCAATCCTTCTTCTTTTGCTGTGCCTCATTCTTCCAGTTACTGATGGCCCTTTTTGCTTCCAAATTCCAGCCAGGCCAAAGCTAAAGGAGTTGATTTGTACAGTCTGGAGCTGGCAGTGCAGAGGTTAATGGGATCTCTGCAGCAGGAGCTGCTGGAGGGAAGACAAATGGTGCCAAGTGCTGCCAGGCTCCTCCTCCTTGCCATGGAAATTACACCAGGGATGGGGATGGTGTGTCTGTGCTGTAAATGGGGAGGAGAGCAGGTTGTGGGCAGGGTTAAATTATCAGAGCAGGGCATAAATCAGGTGCTGCTGCCCCATTCCTTTCCATACTGGTGGTGCCAGTGACAGCCATTCTCCCACACGTTCCCCAGAGTTCTGGTTTTGCCTTCTCCACATCCTGTGTCACAGTGAGGTTTTTATCAGTTTGATATTCCAGATCCATGCATATTTTTTTCATGGTAATCAAACTGCACACCCTCCTACATAAACCAACACAGACACCCCAAAAACCCTGTTAAAAATCCCATTGCTGGTGCATTAAAAGCTGGAGCTGTGACCAGCCACATCCCTTTTGTGCCCCAGAAGTTTTCATCTCTGCTCTTAACATCATGGCCAGAGGCAATTTGACTTTGTATCTGGGAGGAGCTCTGCTTTTTATCAAATGGAGCTGTTCAGAGGAGCTGCTTTGAGGCTAATGAATAATTAAATAAATTATAGCAGGGATGGTGCAAAACTGTCCAGCTGGGCTGCTGCAAACAGGCACCAATTGCTGCTCTTGATGCTGATAATTATTTTTTCCCAGCATCTTTTTTATCTGTCCACCAAAAAGGACAATTTTCCTGTCTCCTAATCCACACAGTCCATGCCTTGGAGCTGCTGCTGCTGAAATAGTGTTGTGAGTCAGATCAGCTTGTTCAGGTGATGGAAAGGCTTCATTACCAGAAGATATTCCTGAATTGATCCCACTTTTCCACTGGACCAGTGAGCCAGTCAGGTGGATTTATAGAAGCAGGTAGCAATCAGGAGGTGTGTGGCAAGAGATAGTAAGGATCTGGAAGAAAGGAATTCTGATCAGACATGTGCAGTTAATTCGTATTAAGTCAGCAGACCTGACTTGATGTGGATTTTGTGTACTTTGTCACAGCCTAATTTAGCTGTTGTGCTCTTCTCTCACTTTGACCTGCCTGCTTTGTCCCTCTTCCTTTTTGTCTGCCTCAGACTTTCCTTGAACTCAGAGGAGCAGAGGATTGATGGATCTCTGAGGTCTCTCCCTGCTGCAGAAGCTCCCCATTAACCTTTTTCCCTGAGCTGGAGCCAAGGCCTGTGGGTGACCCTGGGTGTCAGGTAGCTGGAATTCTCATGCCAAGTGCCTGTGAGGTGCCACATTCAGCTCTCCTTTCCCAGGGCTTTGGCTGTTGGGAATTGGAGAAATTACATCACAGCAGCTCATGGTGAGCCCTTGGTGCTTTAGGAGGAAGAGCTGTAGCTGAGCCCATGGAAAAGAACCAAACTGGAGACATGTAAATTGAAATTTTAACCTCAAAGCAGCTTCAACATCTGGAATGGGTGGAAATTCTTGCCTTTCTTGGCAACCTTTGTCTTGTGAACTCTTCTTTCTGCACAGATGGAGAGTTGAGCCCATATTCTCTGTATCTAAATGAACTTTTTTCCTTTTTTCCCCTCTTGTTGTGGGAATACATTTCTCTGTGGGGTCTCCCCTTGCTGTCTGCTCTGCCTGTGAAATAATTTAAAGCCACAATCACCTGTTTCTGCCCACTGGGCTTATTTTGTGCTGTTTGAGGATGTGGATAAACCAGAGTGGGGACTGTTGCTCAAGACCCAGAGGCAGCTGATCATTCTTCCATTGGTTCTGAGCTTTATCTGCACTCTGGGGAATGAGATGACTGCAGGGAGCACCAAGGGATGTGCTGGGAAAATTAATGGGTCAACAGCCCTGTAAATGGCTACTTAAAGGCCAATTTGTGGTGCAGATGGAACAGATCACAAATACAGCTCTGTGTCTGTGCTTTATCTTGGCTATTGAAGCCTTTCTTCCCCGTTACCTCTCCCATAGAATGTCTTTTCTGACCCAAAGCTGTCTTCTGATGTTTTTCAGACCAATGAATGGCGTCTGAGCTGCGTGAACAAGGAGTTCTCAGTGTGTCCCTCCTACCCTCCGGTTGTCATTGTCCCCAAATCCATCGATGATGAGGCGCTCCGCAAAGTCGCCCTGTTCCGCCAGGGCGGCCGCTTCCCCGTGCTGAGCTACTACCACAAGAAAAATGGGATGGTGAGCTGGGCTTGAGGGGTGCCTGAAGGTCTGGAAAGTGGTTAGCTTGTTTTTGTTTGTTTGTTTTTATTTAGAGTTAGGATTGAATGCTTAAGAGACGGATTTTTTTGTTTGTTTGTTTGTTTGGACTCGGTTGTTTATTGAATCTTATCTGAAGTACAGAGAGTTTTTTAGTACTTGTAGCTATTAAGCTAAAAGGGAGAGAATGGAGGTGAATTGGGTTAGTTACGAGGTATTTTAAAGGTAAACTATTCAATTAAAAACTAATATTTATATTATTTATACTTTTGATTCAATGACCAAACACTTGTGACCCACACTGCAGTACTATTTAATTCAAAAACTGCTACCTGAAATCATGAAGAAGGAACAGAAAGAAGAAAGAGACAATCCCAAGAACTTCTATTTTGTCCCATACCTATTACTATATTCTAAAACATCAAATTTAAAACCCTTTACTATGTGAAATTACACACTTCTATTTTAACTGCACACTAGTGATTCTAATTCTGTCACTCAAATTTGAAAGCTTTCTCCAAAGCCTCAAGTCAAAAGCAGTGTTCTTTTGATGGTCACTTTCAGAAAGCACAGAAAGTTTAAAACTCCCAGGCTTCAGGGTTCCAGCATGAAGGAAGTGTGGGAATCTGTTGGTTTCATGCTCTGGAATTAACAGAGCTCCTGGTTTATTTTCCAGCTTCCTTAATGAAGCTGGTTCTGGGTGATGGAATGAGTAATCTCCATCCTAGAAATAGCCATTAATCAGCTTGGTTGGCAATGTGCATGGCAGGAGCTCACTTACAGCAGTAAGAACAAGATGAGACTTGTAAAGCCACTGCTGGCACCCTGGCTGCCTGTGCCTGCCAAGAGTTTTCATGGAAAGGATGGCAGGAGCCACATTGTCCTGTCTGTGAGCAGTCGGCCCTCGTCACAGCCCTGGTGACAGCACAGCCAAGGCTGCTTCTGCTGTGTGACTGTGCAAGGAGGAGCAGAACAATCTGTTCTCTGAGCCTGGCAGGTAACTGGATTCAGGAGTGCAGAGTCTTCGTCTTGCACAGACTTTGACGAGCCAGAATCTAATGAAGTGACTGATACATTGTAATTAAGAAATGCACTGTATGAAAATGTTGGGTAATTGTGTCTCCTGCTGATGTAACCAGTTCTGAGGATGCTGGGATGTCCAACCTGCAGCTTTTAAACTTGATACAGTCTCCTCAAATGCTCTAATGCCTTCTCACCTCCTGTGGGCAAGATTTGTAAGCCTTCAGTTTAAAGCTGTCTAGTCTGACTCAGAAGTACCTTGGGATTTTCCTTTGCTTTAAGAGCAGCCAACCACCTACTCCACATCAGTTGTGCTTTTTGCTTTTTCTCAGCTCAGCTGAAAACTATTGAAGGAAGATTTTTGCTCAGTTATCTCTCTCTCCAAATAGTTTATATTCCATGGGAGGAGTACAGCAGTGTTTGGCTCAGTGTTGCAGTTGTGACAGTAATGCTGTCACTCTCATTGCCCTCCTGGCTCTGAGTTCTCAGCTGTACCCGGGGTTGCTGACTGGCTGCCCTCACATTTTCGTTATGACTTGATCTGCTGAGCTGCTTCTGAATTGAAAGGCATTTGCTAAAGAGAAACCTCAGCTCATCAGCCTATGGACTTGAGGTTTATTAATCCATCCATGGGGTAAAAATGTCACCTTTAACACGTAAGCAATATGAGTGTTTTAAGAACAGAGTTGGGAATAGATCTTGAAAATTACAATCCTGAAAAAATTGGTTTCACAAAATCACAGGATGGTTTTGGTCAGAAGGATCCTTAGGGGCCATCTAGTTCCAACCCCCTGCCATGGGCAGAGATGTCTCTCACCAGGTCAGGCTGCTCAGGGCCCCATCCAGCCTGGCCTTGAACACTTCCAGGATTTATGACACTGCCAGGGTTTGTAAAGGAGCCATCAGCAGAGAGCTCAGGAGCTCACAAAAATGGTACTTGAGGCATAACTGAAGGAATACAGCCTCTAAGATTATACCTGACATTTAAAACTTGTCCAGCCAAATGATTGCTGGGTTCAAGAATTTCCAGTTCAGTTTTAAATAGCATTCAATCCTTGAGAGGCATCGAACTTGAAACAACTGAAGGATTCAGGGCAAGGCTTGGAGCTCAAGTGCTTGGTGCCTTTCAGTCAGAATTCCCTGCACTCCCAGTACCTCCTCCATGGTTTTGTGTCTCCCCAGGCCATGCTGAGGAGCAGCCAGCCCCTGACAGGCACCAACGGGCGGCGCTGCAAGGAGGACGAGAAGCTGATCAACGCCACGCTCCGCTCCGGCCGCCGCGGCTTCGTCATCGACACTCGGCCTTTGGCTGTTGCCCAGCAGGCCAGGGCCAAGGGAGGGGGCTTTGAACAAGAAGTTCACTACCCCCAGTGGAGGAGGATTCACAAATATATCGAGAGGTGGGTGAAAGGAGGCTCTCCCCTGAGCTCGGCTGTGTCGGGTCACGCTGGCAGAGCAAATACCTCCGTGATGTGTTTGCTCGTGTGAGAAGAGTTGTGTATCCCGGTTCCTGGCAACAGGGTCACTTTGGTTCTGTGGCAAAACCAGGATGTGTGGATGATAAGGGGATTTTTGGTTTGGTTCCTTGTTCTAAGCAACCTGCTGCAGGTTTCAGCCATCAGGCATCTCCCTGTGCTGTTTCTTTTCCTGACCATCTTCAGCCACACTCCAGTCTTCCTGTGTCCCCCTTTGCTCAGGAAGGAGTAGGTACATTGCCAGAAAGCTTCTGCAGGGGAGGGTTTGTTCTGTGGCTGTCACAGTGCTCCTATCCAGAGGATTTGTCCAGAGAAGCTGTGCCTGCCCCATCCCTGGAAGTGTCCAAGGCCAGGCTGGATGGGGCTTGGAGCAGCCTGGGATAGTGGAAGGTGTCCCTGCCCATGGCAGAGAGTTGGAATGAAATAAGCTTTAAGTTTCTTTCCAACCCAAACCATCCCATGATTCTGTGATCCAGTGCTTTTCTCTGGACATCTAATATTGTTTAGTCATTTGGAGACAAGTTACTAAATTAAACAGATTTTTATCCTGGCCTTGCTCACCTTCTCTTAAAGCCTTAATTTTGGGGAACCTTTCTACACAAACATGTAGTAATGTTACTGGAGCTGTAGGCCAGCGCTTGAGCAGTTAAATAAGGAATTTTCTGGCAGATACTTGAAGTGTTTGATTTTGCTTCTAAAGATTTTATGTGAACTTACATTTGTTGCTGATTATTTACAGCATCAGAGAGAGAGAGAGAGAGAATAATGAATAAACACAACATACAAACACTAAATAATCCATGTCCTCGTTCCTGTGTTACTGCTTGGGCTTTCAACAATGTTTTCCTTTTCCCAAAGGTTTAATATCCTGCAGGAGAGCTTCATCAAGCTGGTGGAGGCTTGCAATGACCAGTCACACAACATGGACCGCTGGCTCAGTAAACTGGAAGCTTCCAATTGGCTCACTCACATCAAGGAGCTGCTGACTGCAGCTTGTCTGGCTGCTCAGTGCATTGACAGGTAAATCTCCTGCAGAAAGTCTTGGGTTGCTCATTCACTGGTTACTGATTGCTCATTAAATACCTCTGGCAGTATCAATAACTGCCCACCGTGATCTGGCTCACTTGTACCCATGGAAGATTCTGTTTCCTCATGGTGAAGGAATGCTCCTCCAATAAATCAGGAGGAGGGAGGAAATCTCGGCTAAGAAAAGGTTTTGGATCATCTGTTTAAAGTATGTTCCTGTGTCTGTTGCAGCCAAGCTAATTTAGGGAGTTTTATTGAAGGTTTGGGTTAAAATGGGTCCATCTGAAATGCTGTTTGATGGCCTGGAAAAGGGGACACAGTGATGTCTTTTTCTTTTTTTAAGAAGTCTTTCTTTCTTTTCAGCTGCAAATTTCCAATACCACACCTCACTTCCTGAGGTTAAAACAATGTCATCTCCTTGTTTTCCCCAGGAATTGGTCCAATACTTTTCCCCTCTTATATTTTTATCCTCACAGCTCTATCCAGGCAATCCTGCTCATCCTTTCTAAGTGCTTGTGACCTCTTTTAACCTGACATTTCTTTCACAAATGCAGCTGACTCAGCAGACTCGTGTTCATACCTCAGGCTGCAGAGCCAGTGCTTGCTGTCAAGTGCCAGGGTTTGTAAGGCCAGATGCAGGAATCTAAATTGGTTTTATCTGTGGCTCTGGGTGAGAAAAGCCCATCCCAAAATTTAGGGAAAACCTGGCTTTTCATAGGAGCTGGGGGATGTGTTCTGCAGCTGAAATGCAGGCTCAATGGTGAAACAGCACTGCTGCATTAAAATGGGAGCTCTGTGCTTTTTAAAAGCTCTGACAGTGCTGGTTTCATTACTGGCTGTGCCAGGAAAGGATTGCTCTGGATCAATAGTTTTATCTGAAATTCTTTCCTGCAAGCATGTAATGGGAAAGATCAGTGATGAAACCCTTCTGGCTTGTTGGGACAGTGGCTGATTTCATAATTTTTAACCTCAGCTTTGCTTTTTGTGTTTACCTGGAGCCATGGCAGGTCAATTCCAGGTGCCCGACCTGCCTCACTCGGAGCCTGGAGGTCAGAGCTGGGCTGACAAGGAGAGTTCTGTTGTATTTTCCATGTGGATGGAATGGCTGGGACAGATCTTTCAGCATCTTAAAGGCCTGAAAGATAAAAGAGGAAAATAATGTTAGAAAATTAGCATAGAGAAAGGTGAAGATTAGGTAGGGAAGGAAGGTTTAGATTAAATATTAGGGAGAAACTCTGTATTGTAACAGTGGTGAGGCCCTGACAGAGGTTTCCCAGAGAAGCTGTGACTGCCCCATGATCCCTGGAAGTGTCCAGGGCCAGGCTGGATGGGACTTGGAGCAACCTGGGATAACAGAAGGTGTCCCTGCCCTTGGCAGGGGTGGAATGGGATGAGTTGCAGTTCCAAGCTGTAACTCAAAGGGATGCTAATCCCAAAGAGTGAGAACCACGAAGGAGATCTCATTGTGTGCCTTCTGTCAGTGTGAGAAAAGATCTGGAGTTGCAGACTGCTCAGCAAGACACTGAGCCTTTAGTGATGCAGAGCTCAGGTCACTGCGGATGAGTATCCAGGTGAGATCCTGTGGGATCCATGTGGGAGGGGCTGCAATGGTGATAAAGAGCCAGCAAAACCTCAACACTGTCAGCACTGGTGTCCATGGCATGTAATGGCATCCACTGGGATGGGTTCTGCTCATTCATACTCTTATTATCCCTTCCCACCTTTTCTTTTCCCAGGGAAAGTGCTTCAGTGTTAGTCCATGGCAGTGAAGGGACTGACTCCACACTCCAGGTCACTTCCCTGGCACAGATCATCCTGGATCCAAGGTGCAGGACCATCCGTGGCTTCGAGGCTCTTGTCGTGAGGGAGTGGCTGCAGGTGAGAATTAGCCCTGGACAGAACAACAACCAGTTCCAGAGACACTGGGGTTGGGAAATTGCCTGAGGCAGCAAACAGGTTGGGCCTTGTTGCATCCCTGCTGAGTGTGAGTGTCCTTTGTCCTAAAGAGCAGCATCATTACCTGAGTCATTTGTCCCTCTGGCACTCCTGGGGCCTCTGCCTCTCATGGCAGGTTTTTTGATTTTGGGGAACTGCCTGTTTTATGTGCTCTGGGTGAACATCTCTTATCAAGAATGGTTTGGATTGGAAGGCACCTTAAAGTTCCTCTCATTCCAACCTCCTGCCATGGGCAGAGACACCTTCCACTGGACCAGGTTTCACATCTTCCATCTCATTAGAGAAAACTTGTTCAGACCAAACCACAAAATCTGAGTTGTGCTCTTTGTACCTTGGCAATCTGGTCCTCCAGTGCACCCACACCAGCTTGTTCCTGCTCACATTCTCTGATCAAACACAGCCTGAGAAAGGCAGGGAATTCAGACATAGACTCACAGAACAGGTTGGAAAATATGTTTAAGATTGTCAAGTCCAGCTGTCCCCCAGCACTGCCAAGGCCACCACTCATCTGTGTCCCCAAGTGCCACATCCATGTGGCTTTTTAATCCTTCGAGGGATGAGGACTCCACCATTGCCCTGGGTAGCTGTGCCAGGGCTGAACAACCCTTTTCATGAGGAAATTTTCCCTAATATCCAATCTAAACCTCCTCTGGTGCAGCTTGAGGCTGTTCCCTCTCATCCTGTCCCTGTTCCCTGGGAGCAGAGCCCGACCCCCCTGGTTGTCCCCTCCTGCCAGGGAGTTGTGCAGAGCCACAAGGTCCCCCCTGAGCCTCCTTTTCTCCAGGCTGAGCCCCTTTCCCAGCTCCCTCAGCCTCTCATGGTGCTCCAGCCCCTTTCCCCAGCTCTGTTCCCTTCCTTGGACACACTCCAGCCCCTCAATGTCTTTCTTGTAAGGAGGGCCTAAAACTGAACCCCAGATTTGAGGTGCCCCAGCAGTGCCAGCACAGGGACAATGGTTTCTAACAGCTTGGTCCTGGCTGCCTGAGCAGCTGCATAGGCAGAACTCGCTGAAATGTTTTTTCCCCATCCTCCCATCCCATTCCTTGGTGTGTGATGCTGTTCCTGATTCCCTCCAGGCTGGCCACCCTTTCCAGCAGCGCTGTGCCCAGTCAGCCTATTCCAACAGCAAACAGAAGTGGGAGGCCCCGGTGTTCCTGCTCTTTTTGGAGTGTGTGTGGCAAATCCACCGGCAGTTCCCCTGCTCCTTCGAGTTCAACGAGCAGTTCCTCATCCTGCTCTTTGAGCACGCCTACGCTTCCCAGTTCGGCACTTTCCTGGGAAACAATGAAAACGAAAGGTTGGTAAGGATGCTTGACTTGAATCATTTAAATGTTGTGTTGAATTTGGCTAAAAGAAGGTCCCAGAATCATGGATTAGTTTAGGTTAGAAGGAACCTTAAAAATCATCTTGTTCCAACCCCCTGCTGTGGGCAGGGACACCTTCTGCTGTCCCAGGTTTCTCCAAACCTCATCCAACCTGGCCAAAGATCTCCACCCATCACCAGTTTATTTAGTTTCTCACACAGAAACTCTTCCATAGAAGAGTAACCAGCTGGAGTTGATGTGAGTCACAGCTGTGGGAAGCAGACTTGTCCATGCAGGCCTGGAGGAGGAGGTTGAGGCAGGCAAAGGCTACAGGTGACAATTCTGTCCCTCACCTGTGAGGGAGGAACCTTTCTCTGTAGCCTGTTGTTCATGAGATCCCCCCCAGGAGTAGAAACAGGGTGAAACACTGGAGCTGCCCACAGCTGCCAGGGAGGCTTGGGTTCCTGTTTGGAGCTTGGCAATTCTGCCCTCAGGACTCCTGTCTCCAGTAAGGCCATGGCTGAACGTCTCCAGCTGGACTGAAGGCCACTGGACAAGAAGGGAAAACCAGAAGTGATACCCCAGAGAAGAAAGGCAATTTAAAGCTTCCTCTCTGTAAACCTCTCTGTCCTCAAAGTAATCTGGGCTTAGGAGAGACTCTGCTGCCTTCTGCAGGGCTGCTGAAGCAGTCATCTGCAAAACCAAGTTAGACTTGAAACCAATAAGCTGAAATTTGGAGGAGTATTGCATGTTATGTGTAATAACCTGCCTGTCACATCTGAGCACATCAGCCTGGGAGCACAGACAGGGCTTGAGTCTGATGTTAAACTTGTGCTGTCTGAAGCATTCACAGGGGTTGTGAATCTCCTGCCTGGCTGGCAGTTCAATTTGCCAGGGCAGGCAGAATGAGACGTGCTGGAATCTGAAGCATAGGGATCCCTGTAACTGCTGGAGGTGGGATTGCCCCAGGAAAACAGCCCTGCTTGCTCCGTGTGCTCAGTTCCTTCCTGCCACCAGAGGGACCTGTCAGACGTGCCCGTTCCAGCAATAAAACTGCTTTTATGTGCTTGAGAATTCCATTTCCATCCTTCCAGCTCTACCTTCACACAGGAGCCTGATCCCTTTCCAAACCTGGCACTCAAACCACAGTGAGGAGGTGACTGATTCTTCACCTGGGCAGCAGGCAGCCAACTTACAAGTGTTATTTCCCCATCTTTTATTCCAAATTAATTGTAATCAGCCAGGCTGAGTAAATTGCTTTAGGTTTACACCCTGTGTCATGATGGCGAAGGGATTCATTTGAATTATCTGGGGGAGTAGCACATGGAAGAACTTGTGGCCTTGTCTGTGTGGTTCTAACAAGAGCCTTACAGATCCAAGTGTATAAAACTGACTTTTCCTGTGGGTTTCTTAGGGCTAAACTGAAGCTGCCTCAGAAGACCATGTCCCTCTGGTCCTGGGTGAACAGGCCTGAAGAGCTGAGCAGGTTCCAGAACCCTCTTTATGAGGCCAACAGCCTTGTCATCTGGCCCTCTGTGGCCCCACAGAGCCTGCAGCTCTGGGAAGGTGAGCCATGTTTGCTTTCTCTTTTGTGATTTTTTTTTTTTGGTCAGACTTCATTGCTGACCATTCTGGAGAATCCATGTGCAGTGAGTTCCCTGCTGCAGAAACTTTCCCCATCTCATGGGTGCTGAAGAATTCATGACAGTGACACAAGCAGGCTGTCATGGCAGGGTGGGGACTGAAAATGGAGTGGAAGAAAAAAAGGAATGAACCCCTCCTCATTTTTCTTTTATTAAGCTTGTTTAATAGGCTGGTGAGCTTGGAGAGGAGTGGGGGAAGCCATTTAGGGGGGAGGGAAAGGGAAGAAAATGTGAACTGTGAGCTGCTGGAATGTGAACAACCTTCACGAATCCCTCCTTGTTTCAAGAACCCCTTGTGACCTGGGTGTCTCTGGGCTTCCAGGTGTCTTCCTGAGGTGGAACAGGCCTTCCAAATTCCTGGAGGAGGCTGAAATAGAAAGGATCAACATTATCAAGTACAACAAGGAGCTGCAGGCCAAGGTGAACGCGCTGAGGCGGCAGCTGGCAGAGATGGAGGCGGATGAGGAGGTGCAGGAGGAGCCCTGAGCTGGGCTTTGCCTCAGGCCTTTGCTTTACCCTTCACATCGAGGAAGAGACATGGAAAGTGCATGTTCTGCTGAGCCCTTGGGTACAGCTGATCCTCCCACTGCTGAACCCTTCACTCCATGAACCTCCCTGCCTTTTGGGGAGGGGTTTTTGTTTTGTTTACAGCTGGGCACAATGTCCCCTCTTGGCAGCTTTTCTGTCTCAGAATTGGGTACAGTGTCAGCAGAAGCTGGAACTCTTTACCTCCAACTGTGTGGATGACTAGGATGGGCCAAGAGACAGGATGTCTCCAATTTATTTTGGACTTTTTCTGGTTTTGTTGAACACTCACAGGATTAAAGTACAGAATTCTATATAGATAGGTAAAGGCATTTTGTCTGGAAGCACCTTTTCTCTCCCAGAGTAGGTAAGGCAGCTTAGTTCTTTAATTTCCTAGGAAATCTAGAAATTGTTAAAATCGAATTATAGGTTCTGCCAGTCTACACAATACTCTCAGTAGCTTTCACATCTCACACTTGGGTTTTTGTGTTCAGCATTGGCTCGGGAGCAGGAAGTTAAATACCAAACCAGAGCAAGACATTTCAGTGCAATACAGAATTGAAGGAGGGATTCTGCTGCTAATGTTTAAGCCATGACCTTCATGTGGAATTGTCCCTCATGGACAAGGATCTCCTAAGAAGGAACAAACTTTTTTTTATTCTACCTGGAAAACACAAAGGTTTAGTAGTTGGTGGGGGTGTTCACTTGCAGAGCAGGGCTCAGAGCTGTCCTTTAAACCAGAGCCAAGCTGCCTTCTTGGAAATCCCAGCCCCCCTGGCTGGCTTTGGACACTTGGCCAGGTTCACAGCATTGCAAGGGTGCAAGAGCAGCACTTCATTTACAGCTCAACAAAACACTTTCGTGGTACCTGATGTGCTTTTCCTTCTTGTGCTCTTATGCCCATCTTGTGAAACCTCAGAAGCAAAAGCTGGAAGTTCAGGTGACCTCACAGATCTGCTGCAGATGAAGGGGCCATCACACTACAGAAAAATATTAAGAGTTTAGATGATTTGTAGCTGCTAAAACTGCTTAAAGACTTTAGGGATAAGCTTTTTCCCATTTCACTTTGTATTTTGTAGCTGCTCTTTCAGTTTCTGTGGCTTCAATCTGCTTTTTATAAAATCAGAGTTCTCTCTTGTGATTTTTTTTTTTTCTCCTTTAAAGGAAAAGACAGGTAAGGGTAGGTCTGAAATACTGCCTGAGGCATTTTTTCAGCTTGATTCTGTGGGTAGCTCCACAGGACTGGGAAAAGTTGATTTAACAGCAGCAGATGTGGCTGGGATTATCCAGAAAAGAGCTTCCTGTTAGCCTGGTTCTGCTGGAATGAACAGAGCTGCAGCAGGTCAGTGGTGGGATCCCTCTGGAAACTGCTGAGCTTCCAAGTTGATGGAATGAAGCTGCCTTTATTTAAAAGCCACTTCACATAGATATGTGTGAAAATGCAGGGTCTGTAGTTGTAGAAGTAGCTGGGCAGGAACCTGCAAAAATCATGTACCCACTAAATGCAGTCTAAGAAAATACTATAACCAAGGAAATGATATAAAATTATGTGATAGTGGTCAAGTGCTACCTTAATGCCTTTTGTTCAGTCCTTATTTCCTTAATTATTTCCTTCTTGCCTAAGCTAAACTTAGCCCTGAAGTCCTATGGCTTAAAGAATAACATGATCCCTTTTAAAGCATTGCTCACTTAAGGCAGAAGAGATTCCCCTGCTTGCAATGCCGATTTCTTTTTGGGTTTGGAGCTTTGTTCCCTAAATCCAGTCTGACACAGGGAATGCTGTTCAGGGTGGCTGGGGATCTGTTCTGGATGACAGGGGAGGCAGAATCGGGCTGTTCCTCCTCCAAACCCAGAGATTCTTCTGGGTTTGTTGCTCATCTCGGCCCTTAAAATGATTGTTCACCCTTTGAAATGATGTCTTTGGGATCTGCACCTGCCTGGGTGGTGTTTCCCGACCCCATTCAGAATTTCTCCATCTGAAATCCATTATCCCCAGCCAGATGGGAAGGATTCAGAAGGCACTATTTTCCCTGTAATAGACTACACATAAAACACTCCTAAAGGTTATGCAATTCCCTAACACAGTAATTATAGATTGAGCTAAATAATAGAGAAGCAGAGAGGGTTTTTTTGGATCTAATTGCCTGGCTGCTCCAGCCTCTCCTGCAAACTGCAGGCATCCGAGGAAATTGGGAAACCAGCTGTGACAGCCAACAAAAGGCAGCACATTCCCTCGGAGCTGGCATCAATTTCAGCTTCCACTTGTGTTGAATCCACACCCGAGTGCTTGGGAATGTGGGTGCTGGGACTGTGCCTTCCTGTGGCAGTGCTGGTGTCCTAAACAGCCCCTGCAGTTTATTCCACAGTTCCTGGGCAATGCAGCACTCTGTCCCTCTGTGTCACAGGCCTGGGAGGGCTGGCAGGAGGTGGATGTGGGTGCTGTAGGTTCTCCTGGGACACTTCCCAGAGCTGTCCTGCCACGCTGCTCCCACATTCCCTTTGATCTTTCCCATTCCCAGGAACCTCCCACGCTCCAGGTTCACAGCAGATCATTCTTTGCTTTGCTGCTTGCCTGCCCTATTCAATCACAGATTTGGTATCAGTGATGGGTTTGCTCCCTCAGAGGGGGATCCCTGCCCCGTGACATCCCAGTTGCAGATTCCCTGTGTCTTCCTGAGCTGGGGCAGTGCCCAGCTCTGGCTGCTCCCTGTGCCACTGCCTTACACCCTCGCTGCCACCCCACTCCTGCTCTTTTGCACACACTCTGTGTAACAAGCTGGACACTGAAAGCCCCATCTCCAAATTTTGGGGCCAATCCACGAGGACACTCTGCCATTTACCAAAAAAAGAAGGGAAAAGGAACTAACTTGCACAGTTTTCATAAGGGAAATACGAAATATGTACCTTCAATATTTTGATTGTATCGATTAACTCTTGAATGTGGCGCTGGTTTTGACGTGCACTATTGTCCCTGTTGCATAGGATCTAATTTAAAATTGCACTGTACAGCATTTTTGGTGTCTCATGTGTGCTTTGCTAAAGCCTTGGGCAGTGCTGTGGTTGTGTGAGGGGTGAGGTTTCTCCCAGCACTGCCTGTGTTTTGTCCCAGCAGCACTGTGTGATTGATGTGAGCTGTGTCTGTTCCCTATTGCCCGTGCAAAGTGATGGGTGCACTGCTGGCCCAACATCTGGAACTGCTCTCTGGACTTGGCTGCTGCATCAGTCTTGATTTTTTTTATTTTTTTTTTCCTGTACAATTTGAAATGCCAGGGCTGGGAGTTGTGTGCTGGTGTTAGGTATTTGCTGTCTGTGTGCAGAATCCCAGCTGCTGTGGCGTGGAATTTCTTGCGACAACAACAACAACAACAAAGTAACAAATCTGAGGAAAAGGAAGATGATGGCTCAAGGTTCAGCCATTTGGGGGGAACAAAACAGATACAAAGTGGCTGTAAACTTTGCTGTAGATACCTTGAGAGCATAGTAGATGTGCTGTTTAAATTAAAACCATGGAGACTAAAAAATTCTTTAATTACACTGCTGAATCTTCTTTATTACTGTGTCCTTTGCTTCCCACAGGAGGGAGGTGGGTGGGTGTGACTCGGATTAAGCTTTTGGTTGAAATTTTAGCTTTTCAGCTCAATTGTGTTTTATTTTACAGCTGAACAGGCCCTGTGGTTGTAGAAGGGGGGATGAAAGAAGGGTGAGACCCTGAGGCTGTGAGGGGCTTGCAGAGCTCTGCTCCAGTGACTTTGGGCCTTGGACAGCAGCTCTGCACGTGATGGATAAACATTTTGATTAGCCAAGGTTTTATACTGGTATTGATCCTTTTGTCCTGGTATTGATCTCTCCAAAGGAAGAAGGGCAGGGCTGCTCACAGGGAGAAGGGTTTGGAGCAAAGCAAAGGTGGGTGGTGAATGGACAAGGGGCAGCGGTTTTAAACAAAGCCAGGAGAGATTTAGATGGGATATTAGGAAGGGATTCTTCCTTGTGAGGGTGGGGAGGCCCTGGCACAGGGTGCCCAGAGAAGCTGTGGCTGCCCCTGGATCCCTGGAAGTGTCCAAGGCCAGGTTGGATGGGGCTTGGAGTAACCTGGGATAGTGGAAGGTGTCCCTGCCCATGGCAGGGGATGGAATGGGATGAGCTTTCAGGTCTCTTTCAACCCAGCCCATCCTGTGACTCTCAAGTCCATCAGTGGCTGGGGTCACAGTTGCCTGTTGGTTTTAAGGCGGGGGGGCACATTGGTGCCAGGGGCAGGAACACAAAAAGGACAAACAGCTCCTGGGAAATGGAGTCTGGGAGCTGTGGGAACTCCTGGATCTCTCCTGGATCTCTGGTGAGTCAGGAGGCTGGGAACTACTGGGCCATCTGTTTCCCTGTGGCATCACTGTGGTCTCTGCAGCTGCTGGGGAAGGTGATGAGTTTTTGTGGCTTTTGGGATTGGGGTAGATGGAAGCTGGGGATGTTTGTGCTGCCCTGCAGCCTGTGCAGCCCGTGAGACAACACAGGGATGGGTGCTGAAGGTTTTGATGAGGAAAGATTGACACTCAGCCACTATTTGTGCCCAAAGTCCCAGCTGAAACAGAGTAGGTCTGTTTTTAAATAGTTTCAGCAGTGATCAGACAGTCTGATTTGGGTTACACTTGATTTTTGGGCGGGGGGAGGGGAAATAAAATAACTAAAGAATCATAGAATGGTTTGGATTGGAAAGGACCTTAAAGCTCGTTCAGTTCCACCCCCTGCCATGTGCAGGGACAGCTTCCACTATCCCAGGCTGCTCTAAGCCTATCCAGCCTGACCTTGGACACTTCCAGGGGTGGGGAATCCATCTGAACAAGTGTGCAAATCTTTCTTTAACCTTTTCTTGAATCTGTTGGATTTTTCTCTTGGAAATCCCAAGGTTTTTTTGCTCGGTGCCATTGTAGGAGTCTCTTCCATGCTGCCCATTTTTCCCCGAGCAGTGAGAGGGGAAACAATGAGGAGGAATTCCCGTTGCTCTGGATGGAACTCGGGATGCTGGGCTGGGCTGGGCTGGGCTGCTCACAGCTTCCCCTGCTGGAAAAATGCCACCACAAACCCCTGGCATTTGTCTTTCAGAGCTGAGCTGAGGATCTTCTGATGCTCTCTTGAGAGGGTCTTGCTGATGGCTTTGGATGCTTTATCTGATGCTGCAGATCAGCTCATGGAGGGTTTGCTCTTAAAGCTCCAAATCTGCTCCCTCAGGATCTTAAAATACAGACAGACAGACAACCTGGGCACTGCACAGATGTAGTTACACCACTAAAATCTACAGTGTAGTCACTAAAATAATGTTTTTTATAGCTTGTCACCATTTACATGACCAGTTGGCACATCCCAGTTGGTACTGGTTCTGTTTGGGGGATGGTTTCACGTTTGAAAGGTGTAGCCTGTAGTCACTCTGTGAAGGAAAAAAGCTCTTCTGGCAAGTGGCTCATCCAAAGGTACAAGAGATAAAGGAAATCTGCTTCCTGTTGTTCTTTCCTGATATGGGAAATATTTGTTGGGGTGCCCCAGCAAGGTAAGTGCAGCATTTCCACAGGGAATTTTCTGGATTTGGCTTGTAAGTACTTGATGGAACAAAATAAAACCTTTATGGCAGGAATAAAAGTTGTTCCAGAGTTTGAGTTGGTTCGTTTTGTTTTTTTATTTTTAGCAGAGAATTACCTAGCTTTTCTGTACTGTGCTCCATTTTTGGGGGTCCAACTTGAACACTTCCAGAGAATGGGGCAGACATCCATCAGTTGTTTTGGGGACAAAGCAGTAATTTGTACTACAGTGGGGTAAATAAAGGGATATGGTTTCTACATTAGGGAATAAAACAAAAAACCCCACAAACCTGTGCCTTACTGGGAAAAAGATTTTTTTTCTAGACATTCTTAGAGGACACTTGTGCAACATCAAGCACATGGAGTGTCCTGGCTGTGCTGCCAGCAGTTGGCAATGCTGTCATTTCTCCGTGGGGAAGGCTGTGGCCATCCTGAATTAAAATTCTGTTCTGCTCTCCTCCCCCTCTTTTTCTAACTCACTTGTGCTGGTCCAGCTGTTTGTGATTCCACGTGGCATGAGGGATTGGAGAAATGTATGGAAAAGTGACACAGCCAGGAGGGAAGAGCCCTGCAGGCTGAGTCAGCATCTGGGGTGTTACACGTGGCATGGATGCTTGGAGGATTTGTAAGGTGAAAACCCACGTGGAGCTGCTGGAGAGAGTCCAGAGGAAAGCATGGAACTGCTCCAAGGGCTGGAGCCCCTCTGCTCTGGAGCCAGGCTGGGAGAGCTGGGGGTG